ATATAGTATAAATATAACAAATAATAATAAACGAATAATATTGATTCATGATTTAATTTATATTATTAATAATTTGCATTTAATATTAATGCAAACTTTTTATTTTTTTCCTTATTTTTTTTCTTTATTTTATTTTTATATATTTTTCATCAATGAATTTAAATAAATTTTTGAATTTATGAATTAAATTTAAATATTTAAATTTAAATTTAAATAATTTTTCAATTAGAATATATATATCAAAAAAATATTAATACATAAAATGTCATTAGTAATCTATTATGTCAATAATAAAGATGTTATAATTATGATATTATTAATAGATAATTTTAATTATATTTATCTATTTGAAATGTTTTTTACAGAAGACATGGAAGTGGTTAACACAAAAACATTAGTAGATGAAAATCATCAGCTTGATAAAATAAGTACACCAGGTAACTTTATCCGTTAATCTCTTTGTTATAAATTATTATTCATTTATTCGTAACAATTTTTATAGAATAATTATATTAAGTGGCTTTTATAATATTTAAGATTAATATTTTTGATTTCATAGGACAAAAGAGCAATAGAGGAGAGGCAGTAAATGCAGAGCTGGCATTGACAAAAGAAAAGTAAGTATCTATTTTTATTATGAATATATACACAAAATAGAACAAAATTTTATATATGTACATATAAAAATTACAAAATATTTGATTTTTTGCATTTTATATTTTATTTTAAAAAAATTGTCTGCATATTTTTTTTGTATTTATGCTAATCAAATAGGTTAAGTAAGAAAGTAAAAAAAATTTAAAAAATTGCTTTATAATAACATATATTGATAATTATTATTGATAATATTATCGTTTATTTTTAATTATTTAACTATTGGACAAGGACAAGTAGTTTTTTTTTACATTACATTAATACTTATTTTGCTAAAATTTTTTTATTAAAATTCTTGATAAGAATATATGTGTATATAAAAGAAGCATAAGTTTGTTAAAAAATAATACATATAAGTTGGTCGAAGTATAGAAGTTGGTATTGAAGATAAATTATATCTTTTTATTTTAACGTAATAGTTTTGAAAGTTGAACGACAATGCTTTGATGACGGAACGTGTGGAATAGAAGAATGTTATTGAATGATCGAGTTTCAAAAAGCATAGTGATTCGTGACGGTTTTATTTTCTAATCGAAACAGAGAATAGATCGATTTTCGAAATTTGATCATGATCTATTGATTAAACGTCAAACGCGACGTTGTGTAGCAAACGCGAGTTTCCTTTACTTTATTATATGACTTTGATTTTATCGCAATTCAGTTCGAGAAACACATACTTTTATTATTACGTATTATTTAAATTTTTAAATATTAAATTATTTAAATTTTAAATTAAAATTTAAATTATATTGTTATAAAATTTAATAATCGTTATAAATATTAAAAAAATTATTAATGTAAAAAAAAAACATATTATCCATTTGCGTCGGAATGCGGAAGATAGTAAATATCGATTGGCGATATAAATTATTGAACGTTACTAAATATTTAGGGTAAGTTAACTATTGCATCAATTTGTATTATAGAAAAATATATGTATATATATCTATGTCTAAATTTTTTATTCGTATTTGATTTATTAAATAAAGAGTAAAAAAATTTTTTTTTTATAAAAAATCTAGTATATATATGAATACATTTTGAAATGCTACAATTCATAAAATAAAAAATATAAAACTATAAGAAATAAAAGTACAAAATAATGTAAGAAATAAAATTATAAGTATAATCGAAATATTTATCTTTCGCTACGTGGATCTGGAACATGCCTTTCTCTCTTGTTTGTGCAATATATATTCGAATCGTTTTCAAATACACATAGTATTAAATATTCATTCCGTAATAGTTTTCAGCCATTTCAACGTACTTCGTTTTTTGATCAGTGTATTGCATTCACATTTTTATTCAATCTATCTAATTTTATTTTTCATTTTTTTTCATTTTTTCAACATTTTCATTATTTTGTATACATTTTTTGTTTTTATTATTAATTATTTTTTAACATTATCGAAAATATAGTTTTATTCAACAAATAAAAATAATTCGATGAAAGTAATCAAACGGTTTTCGTTTTGGTTTTTCTCGATGTATTTTCGATTTATTCAAATTATATTTTAAGAGAAAATGTTTTTACTAACATTTAACATAATAGAAGCTATCGAAAAAAAGGAAACAAGATAAAAATTTGCGGTTTTATGAATTATTCATACTTATTCGCATTACAGTTGTAAAAATAAATCAAATATCGAAATAGAATATCGGTTTTGCTTCATATATTGAATTAAATATTAATTGAATGTTGCAAAAAATTAATAACTTGTTCTATTTGTTTTTATATATTGAAAATATATATGTGTTTATCACATATAATATCATATATAATATTTAAAATTAAGCAAAATCGTAAAGACAAATAAAAACAATTTAAATAAAAAGAAAATTCTATACATGTGCATATGTTTATATGTACAAAAAATAAGAATAGTTTTTTATTTTTTATAATTTCTAATTGCAAAAAAATTATCTTTTATAATAATAATTTTTACGAGATATGATAGAATAATATGTTTTAAGATTACTTTTATAAGATTATTATATTTTTGTTAAAATGAGTGATATGAAATCTATTAAAATATTGAAAAATAAATTTTTCATTAAAAAAATATTATATATTTTATATTAAAAATTATATTCAATTTAATTTTTTTTAATCTATTATAATTCATATTATTTTATTGTTATACTCAATATTAAAAGAAAAATTTAATTAACAAATTTTTTAATGTGTTACAAATCACTTGAAAATTAATATTATTGATTTTATAAATTTTTGTTCAGTAATTTAAATGCTTTAAGTAAATAATATTTTTTTTATTGTATAAAAGTAATTTTGAATAAAAAAATTCAGATTCGAAATAAAGAAAAGAAATTGTCATTTCATAAATATTTTTATTCTTAATTTATATGATATGAAATCTAATCTGATTTCATATGATCTAATATGATTTTAGATATTCTTTATGAAATATCAATTTTGAAATATTAAAATTTATAATATAAAATTAAGAGAAAAAAATATTATTTAATTTATAATAATAATAATAAAAATGAAAATTAAAAAATCAATAAATATTTATAAAAATATATTTTAAAACAATTTAATTATTTTTATAAAAACTATTTTTCGTACACTAAATTTAAAAAATTAAAAGCAAGTTTTTTTAATCTGTTTGAAAACAATCATATATAAATTATAATTTTAACTGTTTTTGTTTCATTTTATACAAAGTCAACATATTAATATTATACTTATTAATATTTATAATTGTATTATATAATAGTTATTATTGTAATATAGTTGGACAAAGAATTAATATATTCGTGGAATATCTTTAAAGTCGTCTCATTTTTTTCTATTTCACTTCATCCGACGCAAATTTCAATTGCTTGTAATATAATAAATAAATTGTAATCCATATCTCTATATATATTTATGATTGTTTAATACTTCAGTTCTTAAAAAATATTTTATGAATATTAATATTCTATATACAAATATGTAAGATATTTAGATATAATTTGACAAAAAATTTAAAGATTTAACTTTAGAAATTAAAACAAAAGTTTGCCAAAATATATGCAAAAATGACTTTTAAAGATTTTTCAAATTACAAACAATTTAATTTGTATTATAATGTATATGAAATATACATGTAGATGAAATATAATAATGATAGTTTTATCTTCGTCACTTTCTTTCTGTCTGTCTCGCTTTATCTAATATAAAATAGTTGTTTAATTATTTATAGCTTAAAAAATAAGCTTTAAGGGACATTTTTGCATACCAATTTTTATATTTATTTTAATCTTTAGAACTACTGCTTAAATTTTTTTCCAATTTCATTCAAAGTGTGTACATACTGTAATATAATAATAATGTATTTAATTATATTTTGCATAAATAGATATCTCGATTCAAGATTCAATGAATGTTAGAAAAAATTATTTAAATATGAATTTCATATTAAAATTAATTATATATAATTTCAAATTAAAAATAAATAATAATTAGTATTAAATAAATAATTAATATTATTTTTTTTTATAATTAAAAAAATATATTTAAACTATTGTAAAATTAAAAATAATATGGAAAATATGAAAGAAGAAAGATAACATTATAAATAAATATCTTATGTAATATCCATATATTTTTATTTTTCCAAATATTTCATTTTCTTTATAAAATTTAAGTATAAATAAATACTGCAATTTCTCTGTATAGTACGTAAAAAGAACTGATAACCAAAAATAATTTCCTATTATTTTTATTTATTTTTATTCTTTTTTATTCAAAAAAAATTATTTCTTAATTGGATTTATTCTTATTCATGAATAAAAATAGAGCAGAGTAATATGCGGTTTTCGATAATAATAAATTGAATTAGATTTTTGTTTAAAATTCAAGTTTATGCTAAATAAATCGTTTAATTTATAATTTAATTTACAATAAATAGTCATTTTCTTGCTTACAGTTTTACGAAGATATGAAAATATGAAATTACTGGGATCAGTATTTTTCTTCTTTTTTTCCTAAATTTGCATCTAAAACTTTCAAGTTTGAAGAATTGCACGATATAGAAATAAAAAGATTTTTTCTTTTATTTATAATTTTCAATATTATATGTTAAATAATTGAAAGATATTAAGCAAGATTAGATATTTTTTATTGAAATAAAATTATTATTCAGGTAAAATAAAAAGTAAATTTATTTGAAATAAAAATGTATGCAAATAAATTCCAAAATCTTATTTGAAAAATAAATTATTTTCAAATGATTTATTTATGTTTGATGTTCTTTTAAAGAATGATTATTTCATAAACATAATGAAAATACAAAAAGGAAATAACAAATATTAAAATAAGTTTTTTCAAAAATAAAATTATTGTTCAAATAATATTTGAAATAAAATAATATAACATATATACAGACACATAAATAAAAAATGAAATAAAAATTTTACTCGAATAATTATTTCAATAAAAATTTATTTTAATAAAACTTAATCTTGGTGTAAAAAAAATTAATTTATCATCAAAAAAATGAAAGAAAAAGAATTTGAATCAAAAAGTAAATGTTAATAAAATTTGATTAATCCGATATTAAACTTGATCAAAAAATCATGTGTAGAAAGTATGATTTTTTTTTTTTTGATTCTTCATATTTAAAACGATCATAAGACTGTGAATTAAACTGGAAACTTGAAATAGATTTCTCTTAGTATCGACTAGACTGGAAATAAGATTTCTCTTAGTATCGACTAGACAAAATGTAAAATAGTCGTGTACAACCGTAACGTATATCGGCTAGTTTTCGTAGGAGAATAACGATCGTGTCACGAATAAGTGCCGTGAGCAAAAAGATCGTGTGGCAATACAATTATAGTTTATCAGTCAGTCGGTCGGTGATATCAACTCGAGTCTAACGCACGAACGTACCCCACTCTTCGTTACCGGAACTTGTTCGCTTTCGACAAACGTGATCTCAATTTTCTTGCGAATTATACATATAAACACATTCAGCAAATTTTTGGACTAATCCCGTCGCAGAACAATTACGATTATATGTTACGAGATTCGTAACGTGATTGCATCTTTTTTAGCAATAATCGATATTTTAGTATCCAGAATTTGTTCACTTATCCATTTTAAATGTTCTCTTTTTATCTACTTTATCGACCTTCGTTATCCTGTTTATCCATTGATTTTAACTGAAGCAACCAAGTATTCTTTGTATTACAAATATAGATTACAATTTCGCGTTGACGAGTAATTTTTTAATATTTCGATTTGCTAAATATCGTTTTATTAAATATTCTGTTATTTTCTTCTTTTTTTTTTCTTTCTTTTATTAAAAAACGATTTATAACATTTAGCTTTATCGTTAAATTTATATACATTTAAACGATTATTATATTCAAATCGAATTGCAATTTTTTTTTTGCAATTTTTTTTTTGCAATCTAACGTGCAAAGGTTATTCGTTTGATTATATAGCGGAAGTTTTTGCTCGTAAATATATTTAAAAAAATGGATAACGATAGACAGCCTTTAATTTATGAAAAATGTGGATCGGACTTTTTTTGGTAAGATTTTTCAATAATGGTAAAATCGTAGTATTATTATCGATATTTTTTAATTTTTGAATGAATAATAATTATTAATGACATGTTAATAATGAAAAATACTTAATTACTTTTTTCATTTTAATCCTTGACAATAAACAGATTTTGATTATTTATGATAAAGAATTGACAAAAAAATTATTCAACAAAAATTGAATCAAAAATTGAAGCAAAACAAATTGATAAATTCATGAAAGCATATCTTCTTTTATAACATTATCACTAATGAGTAAACGTGCAAGTTATATAAATCAAAGAGTTATAATTCCTCTTATGATAAGATGAAATGTATTGACGTATTAAGTCATTGGAAATGAAAATATGAAAATATTATACATGTATAATACAATACAAAATCTCGCTATTTCAACTTTTTTTTTTCGATTTAATGTTTATTCTTTTTTCTTTTAAAGATTGATAGTAAAGCTGGAATACATATGGAAATTATATGTCAATTTTAAAAATTAAATATCCCATTTATAAATCAATGGATACAATAATTAACAATATATTTCAATATAACAGTATTTCAAGATATTAACAATATATTTCAAGATATAGATATAATGAAATTAAAATAAATAAAATCAAGATTGCAATATGATATTGATAATTAATTCTTATTTATAATTAATTAATTATTTATTTACAATTATTTAATATAATTGAATATGAATAAATATGAAATACGAAAGAGTAATAATATTGTTACAATTCAAATATTAGTCTGAAGTCTATAAAGTATTATTATATTTATACAACAACTTTGTAGAATTAATTTTAGTATAATTTTATTAAGTTAATTAAAAATCAAAACAAAGATAAAAGTTGATATATAAAAATGTATTAAAATTTTAATTAGTTTAAAAATTTTAGTTAAAAATATAATTGAGACTGATTAAAATTTTTTATTAAGTTTTTAATAATTGAAATTTTAGATATACTATTAAATGAAGCGAGACACAAATAAAATGAAACTGTTCTATCTTCGTTATATTATTTTGCTTTACTTTATTTTCCTAATATAAATTCAATTGTTTATAACTTAATAAATAAGAATTCGATATTTTTGTGCATCAACTTTTTGTATTTATTTTGTGTTTTTCTTTAGAATTAATTTTGATCTCCTTTAAAAATTAATGATGTTAACATCTTGTATATATGTAATATTTGTTGAAATAAAATAATTATCCAGATTGAATGTTGGATTTAATAGAATAAAATTTATACATAATATAGGATTGCAAATTATATAATTATTATTTTTAATAATAAATTATATAAATATTATTTTTAATAATTTTAATATAAATTTATTTTAATCCACTAAACCAAGCAATAATAATAATGCATAACTAAATAAATAATTATATAAAAATATTAATGGATTAATTCATTATTATATCAAGATTGAAATACAAAAAATATATCAGAATAATAATAAATAATTAAACTTTTAATCCATTAAATAAATTTAAAAGAAATTTCTTTGATTTAATGAATAGTATACTGTATCATAGTATCATAAATATTTTTATTTTTTTAAGATAAGATTATATTATGATTAACGTAGATTAAAAAAAAAATATTAAACAAATAATTTAAAAAGTTTATAAATATAATATGAGAAAGGAAATTCATTAATTAAATTTGATAGATTTGATTATATTTCATAAGCTTATGTTTACAACATTGATAACTTGGATGATTTATGAATAATAATGTATACACATCAGCAATATTTTATGAATGGGATACATGTATTTCAATAATGTTAATAGTATTCTATTAGTACGATATACATTTTTCTTATATGTATATATCATAATATAATATACAGTGTATATTATAAGAGATAAAAATTGATGTTTAATATTTATAGGACTTATAATATCCAAGAAATTAACATAGATTCTAAAAGCAATCTTTTTTCCTGTAAAATCAATTTTTATTATTTACAAATGTTCTATATATTATAATTAGTATATTATAATTCTTTTATATTATATTGAATTTATATTTATATTTATTTGCCATTTTTCACAATAGAATAATGAATGGAAATTAATAATTAATAGTACAAGAATAATAGTTATCTAACTATGTGATTATTGAAAATTTGTATTATATTTACGATGAAATAATTTTTAATAATATTAGTATATAATACTCTATTTATAGCATTATACTACATTCTAATAATATTTTTCTACGTTAAAAGCGAAATATATAATCATAATTTGAAATTAAATAACAACAATTGATAATGAAACTTACGAAGAAAAATTGCTTTTAAAATTCATTTGATTGAAATTAATTCGTTGATTAAACTTGTTTTATTCGTTTTAGTGAATCTTACTGTATGATATATCTTACTATAAATTTTATCAAGTATCAGATTTTTTTATCCAGATTTTATCAATATATATGTATTTATACATATATATTTACATTATATATTGTCCTATGAATTTATATATACATATGTATATATTTAATATATTTATCATAAACTAATGATAAATGATAATAATAATGATGAAACTTTTATTTTTGATTCACTTTTTACAAAATTTTTATTATCACATTTTTTACATTTTTTAAAAATAAGACTAAACATAAAACATATTTTCTGTATTTATAAACAATAGAGATTAGAAATAATAATGAAAAGTGAAATATATGTATTTAAAAAAATGTACTTATTCTTATTTTAAATAAAATTATAAATAATGTAATAATTGCACAATTTTTTTTTTCATAAAAAAGGTATTTAATTATACATAGAAACTGAAAATTGCAATAAACAATTTTAGAAAATTACCTACTTAAGTATAGAAAAAAATAGATAAATAAAAAAATTATCTATTTTGTAATTATCTTGTTAATTGTCATGATTGCTAATCAATAATAACGTATAAATCAAATAAATTATAAAAGTATAAAATAAAGCACATGTGAGCTATATATTGTCTCAGAGGATTATAAATATTTATGTGCTATCAAAGGCAAAAAGTTAATTGTTATCGTAAACTTTAAATTTTCATATAAATACATATTTTTATTTATATTTTTCTCATTTTTATAATTATAATTTTTATAATTGTTTCTATTAAAATTTTAATTTAAAATAGTACTCTTTCGAAAAGAGAAAAGAAAAAAAAATAAACACTTTGATTTTTGAATCATGATTTTTGATAATTTCAAAATTTTATAAAATTTTAGATTTGAGTTTTGAATCAAAAAATCATGTTTTGACTCATCTTTAATATCTAATTTGAATAACAACATTTTTGAAAATTGATCGATCAA